AACACATTATTACATTTATTATGTGACTATGCCATCCCATGAATTAATGAACTAATTGACTGGAAATAAGTGATTGAAGTTATCGTGTGACTATGACGTCATATGAATTTAGCCATCATAAAAGAAATAGCTTTTCTACCTTTCTATGTGAAGACAAATGTGTTTTTAATCTTGTTTTTTTAGCACATATATTTGTCAAATTTACGAAATCTTTAAACAGCATATATATTATAGAATTTAAGAATTTTTTAATACAGTTTTATAAAATATGTACTAACTAAGTAATGTCCTGTTGCAAAAACTTTTAATTTTATCAACTGGGCTTGATTCTAAATGACAACAGAAAAAAAATATTGAAAAATATAATTTTTATAAAAAAGCATTACTTATTTAATCTAATTTTTAATTTTTCGCTCAAAATAAAATAATTTTTCTCGACAAGCCTTTTAAATGGATAATTCGATTGAAAACAGAGATATATTTTTTTTATCCGTAACATTTACGAAGTGTATAAATTTAATTTTTTTCTCGTAATAAATTAATTACGCGAAAGGAAACTTCGAAAAACGTCCATATTTATAAAAACCGTGTAAAAATTGCAAACCGTCAAAAATAATGCAAAAAAACTTGAGTAAAAAGTAGAAGTAAATATATTTTATAGCCTCAAATGTTCTCGAAAATATTTATTTTACTTCTGATTCAATTCTTTGTTTTTCTTTTTTGCTCCAACAAGATGAGAAATCGAATTTTTCTCAGGAACAGCAGTAAACAGATTATAAGGTCTAAAAGAAAAACAGAAAAGGTGGGGGGACCAGTGTTTTGCCTTAAGCCATAAAAAATGTCTAGAGTTTTTTTTTCTTTTACATGCTTTGCACATTCATTATGAGAACGAAAATTGTAATTTTTGAATTTAAAACATAATTGCATTATTTCTTAAGGGGAAATACCAGTATAATATGTATATATAAAATATTAGACATGTAGCTATATAGTAAAAGAAAGAAAATATAATTTATTTATCTGTGAAACAGAATTTATATATAGGAAAATGAATTACTGATTTAATCGATTTTTTCATATACATAGAGTACTTTTGTAAGCTATTTCAACAAAAAGAAAGTGTGAAATGCCATGATGAAGATAAAAATATTTACACTGAGATCTTAAGGTATCCGACTACGTTCGGAACCATGATTTTAAAAAAGTGCATAAATGTATAATTTTCAAGATATTTAGTGTCACTTAGATTAGACTACATGTATAAAATTGTTTTAAGGACATTATGACAAAAAAAGTTATTTAAATACAATATTTTGGCAAAAAATTAACTTAGAATAACCTTTTTTCCAAATGTTCTTCTTTTGTAAAAAATGTTTCTATTGTATTAATATTTTGCCTGTATATAGCTCAGACCTCTGTACAGAGGCTCAACTATGATTTTTGAAAAATTCACATTATTTTCAGAGTTATAACCATTGGAAATAATTATCGGCGTATTTTCTTAAAATTTTTCCCTTCTGTTTTTGTAAAACGTGGATAAACCGACTTCCAAGTTATGCATTTCAAAAATTGTAGTTGAGCCTCTGTACATAGATCTGAGCTGAATACAGGCAAAACATTATTATAATAGAAGCATTTTTCACGAAAGGAGAATATTGGAAAATGGGTCATTCTATGTTCATTTTCTGTCAAAATATTGTACTTAGATAATTTTTTTATTGTAATACTATTCTTAACCCAATTTCATATATATTGTCTAATCTAAGTGACGCTAAATATCATAAATATTATCCATTTACACGCTTTTGCAAAATCACGGTTCCGAAGTTGTCGGATACCTTGAGCTGTATTTCTTGTAGAATGTCTGGAAAAATGTAAATCTGTTGGTCGAAAATTCTCTTGACCCGCGCACTTGACTGAAGCAGAAATTAATGTCATCTTACAGAGAGACAAGTGATTTTTGCAGGATTGAGTTACAATATACTTAAGCACCACCATATGACAATATCTTGCCCTCTTTTATTCTGAAGGTTGAGGTGAAGAGGACCAGAGGCTTGCCTCTATAAACACTAGGCCTAACTTGAATAGACTTCTTTTAGGGGCATATAAAATTGCCGGCGTACGAGCTGTATTTATTGTTACATTGATCCGGGTTCGAGGATTTTATGCCAATCAGTTGCAAAGAACAAGAAAATTCTTTAAGAGCGATGAGAATTTATTGTAGAAAATCCAATCCTTTATAAATGCAGGATTCAGCAGCAATATTCACAAAATAAATCTCAGAAGGTATTCACACCTTCAACAGCATTCAGACACAATTATGGGTGTCTAAAATATACCTATATAAAAGATTATTCACAAGCAATCGCTCTTTCAACAGCCGAAGTAATCACTATTAGCTTCAACAATCAGAGCAATACTCTAACTGACTGACTTTCAGTGACCATCTCTCTATTTATATCCCTCGCGGATAATTTAAAAAACCCCGCTTGTGTCATAGTTATTGAAATTAGTGGGTTTCTCTACTAATTTCTAGAAGAATCCAGAGGGTCCCGAACTCGCCAACATGATTCGACAAGTCGTCAAATTGGTCATAAAAAATGACGCTAACTTGGCTCTATCACCAAGATTTCGTCAAGTTCTCAGAGAATCACCATTATACGGCGTTTGCTTGTGACTATTAAAATTTTGACGTAAATTAAATCTAATTTAGAGTAAGATAAAGTCATTATACACATCCAAATACAAATTATTTAAACTATTTGACACAAAATTCGTAACCTTATATACAGTCGGACTCCGATGTAGCGAACTCCTATTTAACGAATTTCTCGATTTAACGAATTTTTCATTTTCCTCGCTTAAAATGAAGGTAAAAACCTCCATTTAACGAATAATAAACCACAAATTAGAGAACTGTTTCAACGGCTGAAATTTTTTTTCATTAGTTTGTATTAGAAAAACAGGATTTTTTTCGAATAATACATAATTTTTCCGGAATAGAAAAAAGATTTTCTTGTTTGCAACAAATTTCGACGGGAAATGATGCATGTAATTATGAGATTTTACGAGTGAACATGAAAAACACGAAACTTTTTATTTTATAATGAGACTTAAGTTTCGTACAAATTTCATGATTTATTAATAGGAAATTATATGCATGCATTCAAACTTAAACAATTTTTTAAAAAATTATACAATCGCTTAGATAAAATTTCAACTTAGATATTGACAAACCTTAACATTTTCTTTTAATTTACATTCATTTACGCTTAAAACGGATCATTACGATCAAAATTAGAATACGTATATCTATTTAAAAGAGATCAAAACACGTTGAAGTGATTTCCTAAGCATCCAACTTAAATCAGGATATCAAAACACTATTGAATTCAAATGTATTGCTTGAAGTAGTTTTCCGTGTTGTGAGTTTTGGAAAGTTTGAATGCATTGAGTGGAAGAATGCGATTTCGCTATTGATCACCTATAATCGATAAATAAACAGAGACATATCGAATTCAAGATCGATTGCGTTTTCTTTGAATCGTTTCTTTCTAAGTCTTTTCTCGCAGCGATTCATGTTTTGAAAAGATTGTATTGTGGAAATAAATTTTTGACTTTTTGATGTGCTGTAATTTTAATGGAAGGATCTGTAGAATTATTGAATTGTGAATTAGAAGGATTAGAAGCAAATATATTTCAAGAAATTTTGATCATGAATATGCTCAGATCTTCTGAATTTAATGCTATGCAAATACTTTTAAAATATTTTTTTGCTATAGGAAAAATGTTTAGAGAGTTTTTGTCTCTCTCTTTCCGAGAAAAAAAAGATGAAAATATTTCAAATTTTCGAGTATCACTATTTTATTTTCATTTATTTTTTAGATTACAAGCACTTAACTTTTCACGTAAAAATGCATTTAATTTTACAATGAAAGAAACTTTTTTTTACATAAAAGCAATTCATTTATATGACAAGAGAAGCGTTATATACGATTATTGTAATATTGAATATGTTAATCATCTAAAATACGAATTGCTTTTTTATATCTGCAATGAAAACTTTAATTTAAAGGAAAAGTCTTCGTAATACGTAAACATTTTCAATTTTTGTTAAATGGTTTGATGAAATGTGATAAAAAATATCGTAGAAATTATAAGAATTTTTGTTTTGTTAATCCGTAAATATCGGTTGTTACAAAAAAGCCTTTTTAAGCTATATCTCGTTTTTATTACTAAAAATGGGCACTAAAGAATTTTTATATGAATGTTTTTAAATATAAAAGTGATCTAATATAAATATGAATTTCATTGATTGTTTCACATGTATTTGTTTGGCATACCGCTGTAGAAATAAGCAATTCTTCACTTTCAAACATGAAAAAAGTTTACAGGGTTTAAAAAGCAACCACAGTCAACCTATGAGAGCCATCCCTCCAATCCTACAAACACCATACAAAGACATCTTATCTCTGATCAGTTCACTTTGAAATTCGTTGATGAGTACATCACAGTGTGAATACAAATTAATGCGTTTGGTTTGTATTGTTTATTTTTATTTTAGATGAATTTTTTGAGAGCGCGCAATGTCAACGAGCTCAGGAGATAATTGCCTTATAATAAAGATGATAAAAAAAACAGAAGACAAAAACGGAAATCTGTAAAGATTTTGATTTGCTATTTTACCAACAATAATTAAAATAAGTAATATGAAAAAAAAAATTTAAATCATTTCCTACTTAGGTCAACAAAGAAGAATTATATTTTAGTTACTTTTTATTATAAATGATTACAATTAATATAAATATGTATATACATATGATAGAATCACAATATTGAGTGACAAAACAGAAAGCGATTTTCCTTGCAGTTTTCCATTTTCTTTTCTATATGGGGTGTTGGACTATTATTTTTGTTTGTTACTATTTATTCATTAATTAAATTTAATTATTCCAATAAAATAGTACAGTAAAAGGTAATCACATTCTCAGAAATTAAGCCATTCCAGGTGGGATTCGAACCCACAACTTTTGGGTTAGAAGTTCAAAGGACTACCTATTGTGCTACAGGGATACAACGAGCGACGTTTCTTTCTATATCTGCTGTAGGACTATTATTTTTGTTTCTTACTATTTATTCATTTTTTAATTTAATCAATGAACTAATATTTGAAAAAACTGTATTAGCATCGAGTGTCAATCATTAGGAATTTACAAAAATGTATTTGAATTGGAATGGATGAACTGAAAGTATTTTATTAGCGATTGAAAATTTGAACAAGATATATATATAGTGAACTAATAATAGGAATTGAAAAAGCTACAGCATTCTTCGAGTGAAACATTGAAAATTTATACTCTTACCTATGGCTATAAGCTGTTTATCAGATTTTTCGTAATACCGAATTTTTAATATGCAAAATGCACAAATAGAAACACAACAGTCTTCTAATGCCATTTTAAAGTTCACTAAGTGCGGATAAAGTTATCGCAGATTAAAAACACAGCAAAAGATATCTTCTAAATTTCTTGAACTAAACTAACATTTCTTTTGTTTCTTGCTATTTATTCACTTTTTAATTTAATTAATGAATTAATATTTGAAAAAAACTATATTAACATCAAGTGTTATTCTTTTGAACTTGAATGAATGAATAGAAATTATTTCATTAACGACTGAAAATTTGAACAAGATATATATATATATATATATATAGGGAGAAAGTGAACTAATAGAAATTGAAAAAAAAAGAGTAAAATTACGTCTATGGAATAAAGAATTTTATTAAATACTTGCAATTACACATATCCATGAAATAAAATGTACTCTACAACTTAATTTTGTTCAATAAATTTTTTTTAAAAAAATAACCTCTAACACAATTTTTTTAAAGCGAAAAACTAATCCAGCCCTCCCCCTCTCCCAGTGTCTTGTTAAACTATTTTCTCTGCAATCATGTAGGAATTATTATATGACTGGTCTTATTCCATTTAATTCTAGATAAGATATCTCATTCCAAGAGATAATGATCTCTAATATTTACATCACCAAATCGTCCGCCGTCACATTCAGGCAGCTCCAGGCAACTCATCCTTGCATCCATCACCAGACATATCACCTCAGAATAAAAACTTTATTTCCTATAGCTCCCAGGTAAGACCTTCCCATCCGCATGCCCCTCGAAAAGAGGATGGCCGGCCTCATCCTCCTCGGATGCTGTAAATGGATGAGAATTCGATTTCGTGGAGCGACCTTTCTTTGATAGGGACTAGGGGCTGGGGGTAGAGATAAAAGAAAGAATATGGAACCCAGAGAGAAAAGGGGTGGGCGATAAGTCGATTGTTCTTCCGCGCGTGTCCCCGCCACTGATCAGGCCTTTTATTTCCTAGCCTTTTTCTCTTTTATCTGGTCTGCTAGGTCCTTGTTTTTTATTTCTGGAACGACGATTCCTCCGAGACAACATTTTCTTCGCGGGAAATATATAAGAGAATTTAACGGATTTTCCTGGGCTTTTCCGGAATAGGATGGATCATTGAAATTTTTCCTGGAGGGAAAGATGCGTTATAAAGCGGTTTTCTTTTTAAAGTTATAAATGGTGCCGGTGTAAAAGTAATGGATGATGGTTTTGTATGTTTTTTGAAATATGCGAAGTGTTTTGGAATACAATAGATCAGTGTTTCTCAAACTGTGGGGCGCGCCCCTCTTGGGGGCGCGAGCATATTGAAAAGTCGAAAACAAGAGATTATTTATTTTTTTTTTAAAATTAATTTATTGAAGATAAACAAACAAAATACATTCTGACATAATAAAAAAAATAAAATACACACACACATTTACACTGATATATTACACTTATAAATATGCCATTGCTACACAATGTATTTTATAAATGATTTTCGTCGTATATAATGTTATATACAAAAATTAACCCTTATCGCAGCGCTTTTCAAACTGTGGCTCGCGCCCCCCTAAGGGGGCATGATAAACCTACGAAGGGTGCGCGAGCATATTGAAAAATCGAAAATAAAAGATTGGAAAAATTACAAATTTACCGAAAGGTAGAAAAATAAAATAATTCTGATATAATAAAAAATAAAATACACATTTACACTGATATAATATACCTATATATGTATTAATACTTTACAATATATTTAATAACTAATCCCTCAATACTAAGTTAAGAACAAGTTTAATATATAATTACTGGTGACACCCATGGGCTTGTCATATGCAATATTATGCACAAAATTTTTAATACTTATCATGATAACTCGTACAATTTGTAATTCAAACCGTATTGTAGTTTTAACATCAAAGTACATTATTATTGCATTCAATACATTGTTATTGTATGAAGGGGAGGGGGAGGCGAGAGGAAAATTAGGATTGAAAATTGGGTCGCCAATATTGAAAGTTTGAGAAGCACTGCCTTATCGTTATAATTTGTACGAATTATAAGTAATCCCTTAACTTCCGATTAAAAGTTACGCTATTCGCTTCCCAATGCAAACCGTTTTCTACGTATGCACGCGTATATGATGTATTGGAAAGGGGGAAGGTATAAAGAAGCAAAAATAATCTGAAATAAGTAAATCCTTGCAAACACTGTGAAGGTCCTTTTATTGCATTCCAAAGCTGTCGGAATAATTTTATGGATAGCAGTGCAGAGGAAAGATCACACTTCAGAAAGATGTAAATATACGCCCGGGCAATTATCCTCTACTTGAGCGAGACGTTTATATACGTCGGTGGCACTTAAGATGTTAAGGTCGTGTTGTAAGTTTAGCCTCAAAGTATGGTATAATTGAATTCAATATATTATTATTGTATGAATGGGGAGGGGGGGCAATGAAAATTATGATTGAATATTGGGTCGCGAACATTGAAACTTTGAGAAGCACTCCATTAGATTTTATTTGTTTCCTTCAGTGGTAGTACCCTGAAACGTGTAAACAGAATAAAAAGAAAACTATCAGGAGCGCATTGATGTTGGTAGGTGATGATATTTTTCAACCCCAAAAGCCATTCTACAATTTTATCAGTGGTGTTAAGTAGAAGCTCTACTTCTTTTAATATTTAAATGTTTGTTCAAGGTGAATTAGTAGTATTTGAAATATTTTTTCAAAATATTTATTACAAAATTAGATGACTGTGACACACTCACTTCATTAATAAATTATAGTTTAAGGTATCCGATACGTTCGGAACCGAGATTTTGCAAAAGCGTATAAACGGATAATATTTATGATATTTAATGTCACTTAGATTAGGAAATGCATATAAAATTGTTTTAAGAATAGTATTACAATAAAAAATTATTTAAGTACAATATTTTGACAAAAAATGAACATAGAATAACCAACTTCCAAAACGTTCTCCTTGTATGAAAAATGCTTCGATTACAATAATATTTTGCCTTTATATACCTCAGACCTCTGTACAAAGACTCAACTAGAATTTTTGAAATATATAACTTAAAAGTGGGTTTATCTAAGTTTTACGACAACAGAGGGGGGAAATTTTAAGAAAAAAACGCCGATAATTATTTCAATGGGTTGTAACTCTGATAATAATGTGAATTTTTTTAAAAAAATATTTCAGACTCTTTCCAGAAGTCTTTACCTCTTATATAAGCAAAATATTATCTAAGAAGCATTTTTTATTAAAGGAGAACATTTTGAAAAAAGGTTATTCTAAGTTAATTTTTTGCCAAAATATTGTATTTAAATAATTTTCTTTTGTCAAAATGTCCTTAAAACAATTTTATACCTGTATTCTAACCTAAGCGACACTAAATATCATAAAATTATCCATTTATGCACTTTTTTAAAATCACGGTTCTGAACGTAGTCAGATACCTTAAAAAACTAAAAAAAACATCCTTTTATAATTAATGGAATTAAATTGTAACTTAATCTTTTAGACCCCAATTCTGGAAAAGGGATCTGAAATTATTCACTAGATAAGGGATGGAATCTGAAAATTCGAAATCATTAATCTTGATCATTCTGATCAAGACAATGGAACAAAATTATTAAATTATTATATTGTCATCGGTCTTGGACAAGTGAGCAAAATTTCGAATCAATCTGGCCTTTCCTTGACCTTTCGAATCAATCTGACCTTAGATACTCTGGCAGATGATATTGGTAACCCAAGATTGGCGTCTGGCATGTTTTAGTTTTAAATAAGTGTTTAACAAAAAACAAATTAGTTTTCTACATTTTTTAAACAAAAAGTACATCTTTTCAAATCCATTCATTTAATCATTATGAAAAGTTCAAAACTTATTAGATATATACAAATACATAACATTTGTACTTTTATTGTCTTAAAAAAATTTGTTGATTCACAATATGTTGAAAAATCCATTTTTTTTTTTCAGAATTTCGCTATGTAGTTTTAATGAACAGCTTTTAAAAGAAGTGTAAAATAATTCTAAAGCTAAAAGCTGTAATTAAAAACGTCATTAACCGTAGTTAAGACAAAGTACCCATTAAATATTTGAATGGATATTTAGTAGACTCTATAAAAAAGTTCTTTTAAGAATTGCTCTTAATTCTAACCTTACTCTGTAAGGAATTACTTTCTAAACACATTTTATGAACACCATTACTTTGTGTAACCCGTAGGTTACTAAAGTAAACAGAATCTAGTTCTGTTTTTCTCTAAACCTGTTTCAAAGATTAAAAGAAACATGCTACAAAATTTTTCATATTATGACAATGTTTGCTGAAAATAGGGCTGGTATCTAATACTAATATTATTTCATACATTCAGTTTTTATGTTAATTTATTTTACTTTATCTGAGTGGGCTTTATATATATGTTACCGGTAAAGTATGAAATCCGTTATTTCATAGAATAACTAGGTATTTCATGAAATAATTAGATGTCCGTTGAAGTATATAAAACTATTGAATTCTACGATTTAGCAAGGTATTCTATAGAATAAAATAATTACTTGATCGTTAAAGTATGAAATACGGCCCTTGAAAGTTCTTTAAACTGGTTTTAGCTGTTTTGGGAAGAATTTTTCCGATTAGGAACTAGAGATGACCTAATAAAAT